CACAGAAGCTGAGACTGTGATAAATAATAATAATAATAATAATAATAATAATAATAATAATAATAATAATAATAATAATAACAATAATAATGATAAGGATAAAGATAATAAAAGTAAAATAGAATACTGAGAAAAAATACATATATCCCTGCTCATGCAGAGTATATATATGTATATTAGTATAGTGGATTCTGGGTTCTGGATCTTGAATTCTGGATTTTGGATTCTGTGATCTGTGATCTGGGATCTGGGATCTGGAATCTGGAATCTGGGATCTGGAAGAACTCTCTGTGGCGGCAACGGTGAGACCGCCACTAAATATTGTGTTCGCGCAGTGAATACAGCCCGTGGACACGTGTAAACGGCCCGCGGGATTCCGTATGAAGTAGATCGGGCCCAACGATTATACGCTAATTCAACGCAAATTCCTTCGCGAAGATATCTGTATCGCTTTCATATATCAGTGGAAAAAGTAGAGACACTGTTGAAACAACACAATAACTATAAACAGTGGATAAATATGTATGCATGTATGTAAATATAAAGTAAGCCTCTCTGGATTAAAAGAGTTCCTCAAGAAAAATAAGAATAAGAAAAAATGCCATTTAATATACGTACCGCGTACCTCGTACCGCCGGTAGCAAATAGTCGTTATAAACTTTCTATATATATATTATATATATTATATAATTTTCGGTATAAAACAAGGACTTGAAAAGCTGAAGATGGTGTAAATAAACAAATGATTAAAAAAAATAAACATACAATAAAATAAAATTAATTAATTAAAACGAAAAAAGTTATTAAGCACAAGAACGAAAGATTTATTGTCAAGTCAGAGGTGACATACCGGTCTACTGCTGGGCAGTCCGCGAATTAAGGAGCACCAACGTCGCGACGTGTTCTCTTTGCCGAAATTTTTGGTTACGTTAAATTATACCTTTTTTTAAGTTTTTATAAAAAATATTAAATTTAATAATTAAATGAGTTTGTTTTATCACCAATGCGATCAATATTTTTTGACTAGTTTTAAACTAATTCAAGTCGAGATGGAGCATTCCTTAAAACAAACTCATTTAATTATTAAAATCACGGTTGAGAAAATTGGTTTATAAACAATTAAATTTAATCTTTAAAATTACTTACGATATATATTTATTTTAGTAAACTTGTAAGAAAAATATGATTCTTACTACTATTAATAATATCAATAGTAATAATAATAATAATAATAATAATAATAATAATAATAATAATAATAATTATTATTATTATTATAATTATAATAAGTAAATTGTGTGGATTTTGTAATATACAGTACAAACACAAACAGAGTAAGGGTTATTATAACACGCCGTCATTAGCCACGTAACGTCAGATGAGTTTTTCCACTGCTAATGAGTCTCTGCACTTTAATTGGCATTCAGTATAGAAATATTTAAATAAAAATATCCAACGCTCATCGAGTAGAACCCACTTAGCAGTGTTGTATTTATTTATAAAATAAATGGGGAAAAAATTTTTAAATTTACAATGTTATATCGTAAAAATTTTAACATTAACTATTTTTGAAAGCATTTTTATAAATTTTCATAAAGGTATTAAAATCTAGTCCAGGATTACGATGTAATTTATATATATATATATATATATATATATATATATATATATATATATATTGAATTTATCATGCTATCTTGTATAACACATACATAAAATCCACATAAAATTATAATTGACAAATTATAAAATAAATGCAACATCTATATAAGGCTCTTATAAGTTAATACCTATTATTGTTTATATCATTTGACGTTTCCTTATTTTTATTCTTTATCCTTTATCTATTTTTTTATTTTTAAAAAATAGAATAAAGTAATAAAAAAATGATTCATTCATCTGTCTAATAATTAACACGCAACTACTTTAATTTTATTAACTTAAACTCCATTACGATGATGGTATGTATAGTAGTGTTAAACAGTAATCAGCAACCAGAGCTAGGTTCTGTTGAGATTTATTCTCAAAATACATTGCTCAAAAGTTTGTTACAGCTGTTGGTGTCTCGTCACCAATTCTCACACTCTTGTTCGTGATAAATATATATATTTGTAAGGAAAGATATATTAACCCTTTAATCATTAACTTATTTAGAATGGGATAGCAGGCATTTATTTATCTAACTATTTAATAATTATAGAATGTTATTGTACATTTATTTATTTTTTCCTATTTACAGACTGCACTGCACTGGGCAGCTAAACACGGGGATGAAAACATTGTCAAGTTAATTGCAGGAACTTACAAAGACTCTATCAAAAGTGTTAATGAGACAACGGTAAATCTACTTATTAAATAAATTTATGTAATTGATACTAATAACTAATAAGCAATAGACGTTAAAATATATTTTTATATATACATATTTTTTTTTTTTAATTGCAGAATGGGGTAAGTTCTATTGAAGTAGTAAAGACTGATGTCGTATATGTAGTATATATGAAAGCTTAAATAAAGGTAAGACGGGTAAGACGGGTAAAACGAGTAGAATGGGTAGAATGGGAGGAGGGTGGGCTTTATACCAGGTTGAGGAGACAGCAGATAGGATCAGATGCGTGTGGTCCCTGGTTTGCTTGGTAAGACTTATATAAGTAAACTCAGCAAAGTATAAGATAAAGAGAGAGAGAGAGAGAGAGAGAAATAAAGAAAAAGAGATTGCTGCTCGTTAGCGGCTCGCGACAAACACCGTACCGGTAATCGTTGTGCTTTTATATTATATGTATATATACAATATATACAATCATGATGTAGGTGATATAGGTCGATCGGTAAGTTGATTATTGAACAACTGATACTTAAGAATGATTTATTGGTAAGGAAATGAACCTGGACTTTATTGGACTTTGCTATTATTATTATTATTATTATTATTATTATTATTATTATTATTATTATTATTAATAATTAATACTTGTTAAATATACCGTAATAATTATTTACTTTACCTACTTGATATTGCTATTATATGTAATGTGTATAATACAGATGATTAGATGAGTAATTAATCTCAACAGCTTACTAAATAATTTTTTTAAGCTTTTCATAATAATTTATATTTTGATAATAACGTAATATAAATTAATTATTTATAAAATTAAATCTGTCATCAGCAGTATATGCCCAATATAAACCAAAGACCTTTTCTCTTTAGTCAGCTTATCGTCAGTCAGATCGGCTTGGATTTAATCGGTGGTTTAAAAAAAAATTAGCCAGAGACCAACACAACTTTAAACAGTCTTTCTATACAAGTATTATATAGTCGAGAATAATATAAGAGCACTGCGAAAGAGTATAAGAAGTATATATAAACCATGTACCGCGCCGGGGTGGCGCCTGTGCTCCATAGAAGCGTGCGACAGCCACGACAATGCAATCTCTCGACTTTAATACACGAGCCCGCACATACTTTGCTTTAATTTTTTTATTTCTTAATAATGCCGCCCCATCTTCTTAATAATAAATAATAAATAATAAGTAATAATAATATTATTAACAAATCTATTGAGTTAATATTATTATTTATCATCACAGTTGAAGGTAAAAAATAATTAATTTCATAAAATTTTTATCTAAATATAAATTTAAATGATTTAACAAAAAACTAAATTTAATATATCGTAAAAAAAGAGCTATATTAAATTCAACAACTTACATGTAAGGGTGTAAAAGTGTAAAATATTAATATTGAAGCACAATGATATACGCAAGTGGATATTGGTGGCCAGCTGTCCTATTCCCTAGCACGAGTAAGCGAGTACTACTCGTTGAAAAAAAAAAAAATTCAAGAATAAGATACTTTTATATATTTTTTTAAGTGGGTGGAGATACGCCAGCAGCCGAATAGGGGCATGTGACGAATGAGCGTAACGTAACAGACGAGAGGAAACTTTAAGGGTTGTAAAAAAATAACAAGTAAAAGAAACTCGCGATATTGTTTCGAATCTCGGGTGCACACGTTTCAGGGCAATGCTACTTTAAAATATTGTATATTGTCTAAAGTACAAAAAGTTACTGATGTATATATATATATATATATATATATATATATATATATATATATATTTGGGGACAGACTTTTATATAACCATATACCAAAAGTAGAGAATATATAGTAAATAAATTGACTAAAATGGATAATATGTTGTACCACTTGCCTCGGCTCACACAAGTGTCGCTCACATTACATTACTATTGCCAATTGACAAAATAAAAGTCTCTGTTGAATATCAAAAAGGGTGTCTGAGAGTTACATCACTTAAACAAAAACATTGTATATTATACACTTATTTGGATGAATTTAATGTCAAAGTTGCATATGTTGTCCAGTCTTTTTTGTTTTTTTTTTTTTTCCAAATTAATTATATAAGTATATATGATTTCATTGTAAATGTCTATTTTTTTTTGTGTCTCTTCAGTTTTCGAACACATTTGAAAATTTAGCTATTGTTAATATAAATATAAAATAAAAAAAATAAGGTTTATAAATAATGGATTGCTTGAATCAGTAGTGAATAAAAAAAATCGAAATTGTACAATACAGAAGTAGTCTTATTACAGTATATAAAACAAAAATTCACACGGCCTTAAGATCAACAATAATAAAGTAACAGCATTAACTTGTTATTGTTTTTCTGGCTATAAGCATCATCATCTCATCATCTAATAAATTTATTATTTTGTTTTATTTTTATTCTTTGTTTATACGTCTTTACGTATCACCTTTAGGCACGCAAGGACTGTAAAATCTCATACAATATATATAACACCACATTAAATATATAAAGCTGACTATATATACCTATAATACAGAGTAAAATAAATCTTATAGCTCTGCATACATTCTTATTTTCTACTTTTCTTTTATTTAAATAATAAAAGTACTAATAATTATATAAAGTAATTATTTTTTTTTCTAGGGATATACCGCGTTACATATCGCAATGCAGTTTGATCACGAGAACATCTTCAATCTCCTTGTCCAGGTTTACGGTAGGATTCCCTCGTTCTTTAATTTCGCCTATAGATCCTATCCCTCATTTCTTATTCCACCTTACTTTATTATGAAGGTATCATGCAATCCAAAGAAAACTTGTTGGGTGCGGTAATTCAATATTATAAACAAACGGAATATGTTGCCTTGTATTTATTCAAAAGTAATCGCCGACAAACGAACATTTTGTCATCGATTATGCAAACGGCAGCCATTATTTATATTTATCGGTTCAATATCGGTTAACTGTAATATTTTTGCATTTTAATTTATAAAGAAAGTGATTTAATGGAAAAGCGTACGTTATTACATAAAAATATTTTTTTTTTTTCAAATCATGCATTTTTCCAGTCAATATTAAATATTAAAAAATGTATTTTTACTTTGCATAGGTGCGAATCAAGAGATTCGTGATCACAGTGGGAAAAAAGCTAGACAATATTTAGCGTCACAAGAAGCTGCGGTTAGCCAAGATACTTTTCGCAGTAAGTATCTTCCTTTAAAATTAATTTTAAAGAAAACAAGTTAACGATAGACACGAGCTTATGATATACTTTTTTTTTTTTTTTTAATATATATATTTTTAAGCGAATGGATTTAATAAGCTTGTGTAATTTTTAGTGCAATATAACTCTATTAGGAACTCGTATCGTAAGTCTATTATATGCTCTGATTTGAATTTTATTTAACTGGCAGATGCTTAAAAGTGTATACCTTATAGAATTTTCGTTACTTTTTTGATTTAATGATTGATTTAAGTGGTGAATGGTTTTACTTTATTTGATTTATTTATTGTCTCGTCGATTCTGTGGGTTTTTTTTTCTCTTTTTGGAATTTTTCTGTTGTAGGGATTATTGCGGCTGCTACACTCAGGCAAGTTGAGAAAAAAAGTCAACTATCTGATGCTAATATAGTAAAGTACGCTTTTAAAGTATATTATGCACGTTTGCTATTTTTTTTTCTTTTTTTGCTGATATTAAAATGTTGACTTCAATACATTTTTTTTGTGTGATAGTAATTTAGTAATTGCTTCTAACAGTTTGGCATTAATTTAACAAAACAATTAGAATTCAATTATTGAAAAATTAAACCTATGATTAAAGGTGCATTTTTGTTTTTTTTCTACGTAAATAATTAATCAGTGAATAGAAATAGAAATTAAGCATCGAAAAAACTAATAACTGTTGTGAAAACATTTTCATGACTAACTTTAAATTATAAAATTGTTTTAGCGTAACATTTATAAATTTTCTTTGCTTGAACAAGTACTTATAAATCCAAGTACTCATAGTTGGATTTATAAGTAGACAAGCAATACTACAAGTAAATAAACTGAGTAATTTTTTAAGGTAATGTATATAAGTATAAACGCAGATATAATATACATTAACGAAAGGCAAAAGCATTTAAATTATTTAAACTCATATGCTGGTGATTTAATTACTCGAACAATCTCACTTTATATGTATGATGTAATTAACACTATCATTTATATCATTTTTATCAATTAATTAGACAATCTATTATTTATTTCGTTAATTCGTCTGCATAATACTATTCTACTATCATCCTATCAAGAATTGAGATTCTTATAAATAAATAAATAAATAAATTAACTTAATATTAATTAAAATAGAATTTTTGAATTGAGGATTGTTGTTTACCTTTCGTCAAAGAACAAGAGAAAAAAAAATTTACTACTGACAGGATAATGCAATAATATAAGCTAATAAGTTAGTAATTATATTTACAGTAAAACTTATAACTATAAGTATTTAGTTGGTAAAATAGGATCAGGAGTTAAAAAGAAATGTACACTCTGCATTTAATATAGTCTGATCTCTTCTTTCTGTTATTTTTGACAACAATCTCAATTTACCTTGTTTATATGTCTAACATTATTATTTTTTTTTTCTATAAATACCTATTATTCATCACTATTTTTTAATTTATATTTAATCTTTTATTTTACAGAAATAAAAGCAAGGAAAAAGCACACAGGTGAATTACTTATTTTACTTTTAATAATTGTTTATATAAATACACAAAAAGATCGATTAAAAACTAGTTTGTACATAATTTAACACTGTATAAAACTTATCACTGTATTAAATACAGTAACGTAATTCAGATAGAGACAATGATTTTAAAAAATATGAGAAACAAAAAAATAATTTGAACTTTTGATGTTTATTGATTGTATGTAAAAAAAAAAAACTTTAGGGACAAAGAATAAGTATAATAAAAAATAAAAATAAATTAATGATATGTCGAAATTTAATATTATTTTATTAGAGAAAGATCTTGGTTTTCTTCGCATTGGATCCCTGAACGTCCGCGTGAAACGCACAACGGAAGCATTCAGCCAATTTTTGGGTGTAGCAACTAACACGAATAATGAAAAAATTCACAAAAGTTGGGGCTCAGCTGATAATATTCAGGTAAATTTTTAAACTTTTTTTCAAATTTTTTAATAGCCAAATACTTAATTATTGAATAATTTAATAATGTTAATTGAATTCAGGAACACAAAATGATGCCACCACCAAAGTACGCACCGATAAAAAAGCGCAGAAGTAAAAGAGCTACCGACTTTTCATCTCATCAACAAGCCATAAGTCAACCAAGTACACCGTTACCACAGAACAAGGATGTTATCGGCAACAAAAGCCCTAAATTAAAAAATAAACGACCTTCTTCGACAACTTCTGTTACTCAAACATTCCAAACATTACCATCCGTAATGTTAGACTCTGACTCAGATGGTGCATGTGGATTTGATTCCGCATGGCGTGGTTCAGCTCAATTATAATTATATAATAATTTTAACATACAAAAAAATTTATTAATTATTTTGTTCCATTCAATTTAATTATTGTTCCTTGAGGAATTATTAATAAAATAATAAATATTAAATTATAGTATCAGTTAAACTTGTTGTCTTCTTAATTTTATCAATTATTATCAACCAATCCCACAACAATAATCAAATTGGAAAATAATAGTCTAAAAATGTAATATTAAATAAAAAAAATAATAACATAATGAGGTATAGTGTTATGGCTAAATATTTATTTTACATGTTTAATTCTACGAGGAACGTTTGTTAACTAATAAGTAACTATCGATAAATTCGAATAATTTTACCTACATTGTTACCGATTATTTATATTAAGAAAAAAAAAAATTCCAATATTTCTTACGATTATCATGATGTGATACCGTATTACAAATATATTAAATCATTATGAGATGACATAGTTGAGTGTCCACATAGGGACAATAATTTTTTTGAGACATTTCAGTAAGTTTATTAAAATAAATGGGACTTTTTTGAGAAGAAATATTGAAAAATAAAAAATATCTCGCCGATGTATATAAGCTAAATATCAATAATAACTACGAAAGGTAAATCAAGTACATAAACTTATAGGTACTATAACATCAAAATTAAAGAAGCCGATTCTATTGCCGACATCCGATAAAATAGGCGCTCTTCAGACAAAATGCTAACATACGGTTCTTCGGTTCAAGCCATTGTTCTCTTTGAATAATTAAATGGGTTTTTTTTATTTTTTTTTATTTTGTAACTGTGAATGATAATAAAGAAGATATTGGTAAAAATAGAATGGTCAAATTGTTAGAATAAGTTTTATAAATTGTCAAAACGCGTAAAAAAAATCCTAAACATGGGAAAATTAGTGAGAAGCATTCTTAAAGATTGTCGAACCATTCCTAAATTTTCAATGAAAATAATAATTTAACGAAGTAAAAACTATTGCGTAGCTGTGTTTTAAGTTTTGTGAGCAATGATACCTCTTGTAACTCTATTTTTGCGTATTTCAGGGTGGCCTGTTGGGCCTATATCGATGCGTTTTTTCATGAGAAAGAGATCTAGACCAAGAACGGGCAGATTGGTCGAGTAGTTTCAAAGTTATAAGCAAAAATAAATAATGACTATAGTCATTGAAATCTGTTATTATAGTCATTATATTCTGTGATTATAGTAATTATAATCTGTTATTATAGTCATTATATTCTGGGATTATTACCATTATAATCTGGGATTATAGTTACTACAATTTGGGATTATACTAATTATAATCTGGGTTATACTCATTATAATCGGGAGTAAAATGGCGTCGAAATGGCAAACAAAATGGCGGCAAAATGGAAAGCAAAATGGCGGCGAAGTGGTAAACAAAATGGCGGCGAAATGGAAAGCAAAAATGGCGGCAAAATGGTAAACAAAATGGTGGCGAAATAGTAAACAAAATGGCGGCGAAGTGAAAAACAAAATGGCGGCAAAATGGTAAACAAAATGGCGGCGAAATGGAAAACAAAATGGCGGCGAAATGGAAAACAAAATGGCGGCGAAATGGTAAACAAAATGGCGGCGAAATGGAAAACAAAATGGCGGCAAAATGGAAAGCAAAATGGCGGCAAAATGGTTCAAATTTTTAAAATAATTTTTCTTAGTTCAAAATTCTTTTATCTGTCGATAAAAATAAACTAGGTCTGTAAACATGTCTTATTAAAAACGTAACAGCAATAAAAAATAAAACCCAAGATTGGCTCGTCAATTACAGCATGAAGATATGAAGATATGATGAGTACAGGCCGCCCTTTCTAATATAACTATTATTTATCTGTATACATTCACCGACAAGCCGAAGAACACGACCCGGAACATTCACGTGACTAATTTCACCGTGGGAGAGACATAAAACGTTTTGAAACTTGTCAATCATCTCAACTCTTGCTTATGAAATAAAACACTTAATTAAATAATTCTAACGAGAACAATTGAGCGGTAAAATTATTCACACTAGTCTTCTTTCGTTCCTTGATGAGAATTAAAAATTTACAATATAAAATTGTGGAAAATTTGACTGAACTTACCGTCAGCATGGCAATAGTAAAAATTTCCACTTTTTTCCGAAAAAAAATTTACTCAAGTTTAAGTTTAACCGACGAATGCAAAAGACCGACCGAGCGCTAGCTACTGATCCAGTTTAGATGCACTAGAGAATGCTAACTTATGGTTAGCTTGTAAATATACCTTCTAGGATATACTCTCATATTCCACCTCTACCTGGGTCACGAGATATCCACGGTACATAATAATAACCCATGGGAGAACAAGCAAGGATCATCACGTGAGGAGTGAGGAGTGAGGAGTCGGCTCGCCGATGGGAGTATACTTTCATTTTCAAAGACAACTCTATTTTGTAATCTTCGATCTATTTTATAATACGGGATCATTTCGATCATTCATCATTCGTATTGTGTGTGACTTTTTTTTTTTTTTAGGATGGAAGATATTTAGTGGACAGTGTTCGATCAATTGGCATAGATCGAACTTGAGAGATTTATTTTTAAAAATTTTCTTAAAGAAGAAATTATTAAAGAGAAGTTTTTATTATTTGCTTTGATATTGATGGAAAATTAATTTGGTTAGAAAGAAGAAATATTTCATGAAGAAAATTTTTTTAAAGAAATTTTAATTTCTTTAAGAATTTTTTCTACTTAATTTAAGAAAAAACATAATTTATTTATTATTATTTATATTTATATTGATAAAAAAAAATCTGGAAAACGGTTGACCCTAAAGGCCATCCCTGCAACTTTCCGCTAATTCCATATCTAAGCGCTTAAAATTGCACTTATGACGTTTTTGAGCTCTTCGAGCTCAAAAATATAATTTGTATGTTATTTTGAGCTCTCTGAGATCATAGAGTTAGCTGTTCTAAGCCTTCGAGCTCAAAAGTTTGATAGAAGTTTAATAAAACAGTATTTTTTTGAATTTTCAAATTCAATTTTATAATATACTTTTAAACACAAACTGATCGAGCCAAAAATCTTAGAGAAATTTGAAAAATTCACTTTTTCCAAATTTTTCCACAACGATAACTCATGAACTAATTAACCGATTTTCACGTTCTTGGTGGCGATCGACGTGGTTTTTTGGGCTCTTATAATTATAATTATCCTATTTCATCAAAAACGATCCAAAGAGAAATGTCGAAGTTATGTGAAAAATAGTATATTGTGTGACTAGGGATGAAACAAAACGATTTCAGACCAGAGTGAAGTTGGCATCACTTGGTCTGAAATCGTGTTTCATCTCGCGTCACACATTATATTATTCATATAAGTTGCATTAAAAATGCTAGTTTCAATGTCTAGAGCCAACCAAAACTAGATAGTTTCAGACGAATAGCGAAATTAATTCAAGAAAGTATTAACGTTTATTTTTTATTAAACATTATTCGTAAATTGAATAGTTTTCTTTTGTCATTCTTATTTATGCTTAGTAACAGAATTATAATATGCTTAGTAATAGAATTATTATAATTACAAAGGTATAAAATAAACAAACGATTGATATAGTTGGATTAGCGTGTCTTTGCGCTTCGGGAATTTTTGGTTTTTGCCTCCACCATCTCAAATATGTGATTAAAAAATATTTAGTGCATATGGTTAGCGTAAGGATACATTTAATTTGTTTTTGCTATCGAAACGCATGTGTTAGCTATAAAAATTAGATGGTGAGGGCAAAAACCGAAAATACCCGAAGCGCAAAGACTCGCTAATCCAACTCTAGGATTGAAAATAAAGCTGCAACTTCATTTCGCGGACAGACAATCGTCATTTTCTGCCCGCCGGAAAGAAAATGATTGATTCCTGCCCGGCAACAGTCGCATTGGTCTGAAATTGACTAGTTTCGGTTGGCTCAACAGGCATTGAAACTCGCATTTTCAATGCAGATTATATGAAAAACATTTTTTTCGAAATTTTTCGTTTTTGATAACTCTTGAACGACTCAACCGATTTTCTCGGGACTGGTGGCAATCGACGTGGATTTTCAAACTTAAAAGCGGATTAGTTTTTAGAATTAATCAGTAGAGCCATTTAGAAGTTATTCCAAAAAAACGATTTTTAAAAAATTTTATATTTGAGATTTCTCAAAATCTAGCGAATCGAATCAATTGAAATTTTTACGAAATTTAATGGCAATGATACTCTTTAGATCGCCACCTATTTCGATCCGATCGGCTGAGCCGTTCGAAAGTTATACACTGATAGAAGGATTTTTTTGTATTTAAAAAGATTTGTTAATATTTAATAAATGATTTATTAGAGGATAGGTCCTTAATAAATAATTATTAACAGTTAATAAATCATTTATTAGCAGCTGTTTTTTTGTGCTAACCAAATATTTATTACTATTTAATAAACGATTTATTAACATATAAAAAATGATTTAGGGGAGGGGGGGGGCAAAATGGGGTACCCCCAAAATTTCGTAAAAAAATTTTTTTTTTTCAAAAAGCTTTTTCAGCTTTCTAAAATATATTTCAACGTCATTTCCTACAATTTCAGA